AAATGTCTAAAACTGACTCTAGAGAAATGTCCAGAGATCTACAAGAGTGACCCCAACTAACAATTTGAGCAACAGTGGAAAGGCTACCTTAAATGCCCTTCCCTGATAATGAGATCGATGACTAGCTTATCCACCATCATGGAGCCCTCTTCTAGTAGCTGATGGAAACAGAAGCAAACATCCACAAGTAAACACTGAGCTGAACTAGAATCCAGATGCAGAGATAGAGGACAAGACCGGGCTACAGAAACACATAGAGACAGCTGACCTGAACAAAGAGGAGCTAACGGGCCCCCAGACTGATAGCAGGGAATCCAGCATGGGACTGACTCAGTGGGTCTCAGAACACCTGGGCAGTCTAAGGGACCTCTGACAGTGGAACCAGATGTGTTCCTGGTGCACAAAAGGACTTTGGGAGCACATTCCCCATGGAGGGATTCTCCCTTAACCTACAGGCAGGAGGGAGGGCCTAGTCCTTACTCCAAATGACTTGAAAGATTTAGATGACCCCTCCTGGAAGGCCTCACCCTACATGTGGAGTGGGTGGGGGAGGTAGGATGGGGGGATGGGAGGCTGGTGGGCGGGTATGGGAGGGTAGAAGAGAGGGAAGGACAGAGAGGAAACTGGGATCGATATGTAAAATAAATGAGTAAATAAATAAATTTCTAAGGCGTTAATGAGGTGTTTGCCTAGGTGTGTTTTCAAGGGTATTTCCAGAAATGTTTAACTGAGAAGGGATAGGTGACCCTGTGTGGGAACAGCACCCTCCCTGGGCTGTGGTCCTCGACTAAATAAAAGAATTAGAAGGGAGAAAGCATGTTGGGCAGAGGCATGCCCTTTCTCTCTTGCCTGGTCAGCACCATCAACCAAATCGCCATTTTCTTCTCCACCTCAATGGACTGAATTTCTTTGAACTGTGAGCCAAAACAATCCACTCTTTTTAAGTATTCTGGAAAGTTGTTTTGTTACAATAAGAAATATAAGAATTTATAATAAGAAAATGACTAAGCAATTAGAAAATAACTAAGACAGCACATTGTTTTTACATTAATATAAAGTTTAAATCTTGCTTGCAAACATACAGGAAACCTGGACAAAGAGAGAGAGAGCAGAAAATCTTGAAAACTTTTAGTAAAACAGGATCACTCAGACCAATGGAAGAAACTCATTGTAAGAGCCATTTTACTGCATATGGTTTGGGGAAATAATTATCGGCACTTTAATAGCTCTAATACTGAAATAATAATGTACATAGATTGTATAATCTGTAATTGAATTTCTCCAAATAATTCCTCTAAAAAAGCAAAGTTTATTTTTTTGAAAATTTGCATTCATCGCAGGATTATTTCTAAAAGTAAAATAGAAAAATGCATAAAAATTTAACATTAGAAAAATCATTGAGAAAACGTTTGTGTCTCTGCTAAATTTGATGGCAAATGCACAGTAATGACTGCTAAAAGGGAGAACGCATAATTGTCTGTGCTGTTATAACTTTCTGCCTATGTATATATAACTGAAGGGGACATGGAGAGATTAGAATATGCAATTCCTCTGAATAATGAAATAATAAAGCCAATGCTATTTCCATTGTCATTATCATCTTATTTTGCAATTGAAAGTGTTAAATTGATTTTTAAAAAAAAACTAGATATGGACTTGTGCAAAAATATGATATAGACTCAGCCTGGGAAGCTGAAAGGAACAAGGAAGATATTTTTAAAAAAATAATATGCAAAAATTGTGTACATATCTTATTATTAAATGAAGCTCTGTGAAGACGACTCACATCTCTCTATAAATCCTCAAGAAGATATAATTTCTAATGTTTATAATTAAGAAATATTCCACGAAAGTCCCGCATGGCCTCCCCCTCACTTCCTGCCATTTAGAATATGTAAAAGGCAAAAGGAAAGAAAGCAACATGTTGACTTTTAGAAGTTTGAGAGAGTCTCAGGAGCCATCAGCTAATTGAGGGGTCTTTTCATCTACTTCTATGGAAATTGCGGAAAGGCTTCAAATACTGGACTCTAGCAGCTTTCATTTTCCTGGGAGTTTGGAGTCAGTAGCAGCAGCAGCAGGCTGAAGCAACAGCAAGTCACCCCCTAACCCTAACGTGACAGACTCCAGGCAGGCAGAGGGCGTTGGGACCCTTGGCCGTTGCAGCGGCTACTGTAACAGCTCTCAGCCTTCTTATCCCTGAAGCCCTTGCCCAGGAAGACTTCACTGCTCTTCTTTTTAAGAAGGAACTTCCGTTGTTTCCTCTAGTTTGTTCCATCTCACTGCTCTGCCACCACTTAGTTGTTTCTCCAGTTGCCTGCAGCTGGCTTCCTGACATGGCCTCAGGCAGAACTGACTTAGGGTGCCGGCCTTGGTCAGGACTGCACTCTGAAATTGGGATGTGAGCCATGTAGCAGGCTGTTTAAGAACTGGGTGTTGGGTGTGTCCAGGACCACTCAGGTGCAAACATACGACTCACGCAGGATTCCTGGGTGGAAAGGGTCACTAATAGGTGGGATCGGTCATCAGCTCTTCAATTATCAAAGTCTGGCTACTAACAGTCTGCACATGGAAGCCAAGGCTGGGTAAATGGATGATGCGCAAAAGCTTAATCATTTGGGATCCTAGTGTGTGGCAAGAAGCCAATATCTAACACCCTGGAACCCATTTACCTATCAAGCTGTGGCTAAAGACATTTTTTCACTTGGAACTGGGCTCCCGGGACTTAGAAATGTATGTTGAGGTGTGGGAGAACCCAGTGCTGAGGGTTTGAAGCCAGAAAGTATCTGGCTCATTTATAAAGCACATCCAGGGTCCTCAGCTATCAAACTGATGTGGAGTTTGCCACTTTTTCATTCAACAAGCTGCCCTTAAGCTCTCTGAGTGAGCTTGTTTGCTTGCTTTCTATTACCAGTTCAGCCCATGAGACTGAAGGTAGTCTAGGAAAGTCTTTATGAGAACTGACATTGAAACACAGAAGTGTCTCATGGAGCCTAAGCAGCTTACCTCTACAGCCCGAAGGGGGTGTTCAGACCAATCATAACTATATGTTTGGACCAATAATACACTTCTTTGGGCCAATCAAAGTCTCAAATTTCACCACTCAGAGTCATTGAGGCTTGTGTTTTGGTGCAATGATGACTTCATCCCCTTAGTACCAATCACAGTAGGCCTTCTACCAGGGGATCTGTCCCACCTCTAGTGGGACTGAAAGGGTTTACTGAGGTTGTAAAATGTCTGCAATACAAGTGCTTCTAACCCTGGCTGGGGCAGTGGCTTCAGGAGCCAGGGCAATCAACTTCAATCTTTTGCATAACCGTTTCAAGGCATCTGTGGAGAATTCCAGACAGCTTATCCTGGCACAAGGGTAGACCAGCTGGCTGTTACATTGATAGTCCTTTTGATCAAGGCAGCCCAGGCAGCAAGAGAGAGTTCAATAACTGCTAATTAGGGAGTCAAATTGATCCATCCCCAGTGCCTCCCTTTTTTATAGGAAAATGATCAGAAGGGGTGTTTACAATTATAAATGTAAAGAAGTTATCAATAATACTAAAAGTAATTTTTAAAATGCTTTAGCAATTCTTATACAACCCTAATGCCCAGAGAAATTTGTTTTTCTCAGTTACTTCCTTCTAAAGTCATCTTCAGGAGGATACTTTTATCCTTATCAACTGGACATGGCACACTAGTCTGTCTGCACTCTGGAACAGCAAGAGAGATTCATCCCCAGCAAGAAAATACTCCAAAGGAAATATACCAGCCTGCTAATGGTTGAACCCAGTTGGAATCCAGCAACAAAGGAATATGATTGATGCCCACATATATCAGCCTTCAAGGCACAGAAGCAAATGGAAAATGATAAGTAAATATAGATGGCAAACAAAATTATCCACCACAAATATCTATAAAAATTAAATTTCAACAGCACTTAAGCAGTAGAAAATTTAAAACTTTCCTTTTGAGACCAAGAATAAGACAAGCTTGACATCAAAATCACTAAAGAAGGTAATGATTGGAAACTAAAGATTAAAAGCGTTATTATTCACAATTAAATTGGTGTGTACATTAAAGCCACAAAAAACTGCAAATAAACCATTATTTTTTAACAAATAAGTTGTAATAATCAAGTTATCATGTCTGTTAATGTCAGATAGAACACAAGGGGGGGTGAAGAAAACAACTACATTTTTTGTGCCTATGAAAACAAAATCTAAAATTCATTTTTAAAATACTTTATTACATGTAAGTATTTCTTTGTTTGTGGGTAAGGCCACATGAGGAGGTCAGAGGACAACCTTTGGGAATCAGCTATCTCCATCCACCATGTGGGTCCTGTAACCAACCCAGGTCACCAGGCCCAGCAAAATGCACTTTTCCCCTAACCATCTTGTTAGCTTCAAGTCCAATTTGCAGTTCCATTAAAAATCAAGGTATTTATTACACATTAAAACTGTATGACAAAGTATAGTTGATCTATCAGACAAAATGAACTCCATATTCAAACAACAGATACAATGTCCAAAATTTGCATCCTCAGAGACAGTCTGCTCCAAAAGACTCCTGGAGACACCTGTCTCCTATCACATAACACACCCTCCTCTCAAACCTATTAAAATATTTAACATTTATAACAAAATAAACCTCAGGAATATCTAGGAATAAATCCACTATTAGATGTCTGATGACTCAATGCAGATATTTATGAAAATCTTATTGATAGAAATTAAACACTTGACTATGCCCAAATATAAGCCATGAGTATAGATCAGGATGTCCGATACTGAAAGGCAATCTTTCCCCAGAAACCACTCTGGTAAAATCACAATTGATTTTGTTGAAACTGAAAATCTTGGATTTCTGTGAATTCAAGGCCAACCTGGCCTACAAAGCAACACAGAGAAACCCTGTCTCAAAAAAATTAAAAAAGAAAGAAAGAAAAATCTTGTTTCAAAACATAAAGTTGAAAAAAAGCTAAGAATTACCTATATTTTACTTATTTATTTTAAAATAAGGAATGCTTCAGAAATTATCACGTCATCTTTGTTCAAGGGTCATGCTAATCTCCGTATTGCTTCAGATTTACAAGATGTGCTACCAAAGTGAGCACAATTACCTATATTTATTTTTTTAAAAAAGCACATATTTTGTTTGATAAAACAAATCTGCCAGAAGATCAACACATCACAATTTCAGAGTAACTAAAAAGTGTAACATTTGCCCAAGAACAGATAAATGTGTTAATGGACCTCATCTAAGTTGCTTTATCACCTCCACATATATACCATGGCACATGTGAGCCCCAATAATAATAACTGATAAAAGCAATACATTCTATGAAGAAGGTAAAATATACAAAAAAAATTAAGAATGTTTTGGTGGGGTTCACACTTTTACTTTATGTGACAGAACTTTACTCTGCATAAACCAAAGCCCCTGCTAAATATCACAGAGACCATCTTCTACTCTGTGTGCCCTCAACATCAGGGCAGTAAGGAATGGCAGGGCCATAAGCAACAAGTCACTCAGAAATGCACAGATTTTCTTTCTCTTATAGCTTAATTTAAAAAGGAAATGGTTAGTCGTCATTGGTAGCTGGATGTTTTTCAATTATTCACCAGCATATTTGGTTCTGAAAATAGGAATAACGTGATAGACCCAGGTGAGACCAAAGAAGCAAGAGAAGACAAAGAGGAGATAAGTACAAAGCCGCGGGTGAGGTTGGGTATATTTGAAGGAACCAGGAAAGGCGAGAAGCAAATTATTAGTGGCTGTTCCAAAGAGAGGCTGAGGGTAAGCTAAAATGATGCCAAGGAGCTGGAAAGGGCTTAGGAGAACAGGGGGCAGAAAGGGACAGTAAACAACCGCAGGCGAAACTGGTAGGAGAAAGCTGTAAGTCTGAGAATTTCAGAGAAGGAAGATTTGGGTCACTGATCAAACCCACCATCCTTCAGCAAGGAGTGAACTTTCTCTGTGGGAGACCACGTCCCTGCAACAACTCCGCTCACTGAGCAGAGGCCAACCGAATGGCTTTCTAAATCCCACCACGTGTAGAAGCCACCTGGGTCTCATCCCAGTGCAAGACTCACTTCAGCAGACCCGCACCAGGCCTATTAGTGAGGTTTAATAAGGATCAGGAGAAGCAAATAGGCCGAAAAGATGTTTGTTCAGGGAGAAATAACTTACAACATAGACAGATGAACACCAGCAGGTTCCTGATCTCAAGGATGCCTCTGGATGTCTCCTGTCCCCTTGCTGCAAGCAAGAGAGCTCCCACGGCCCCCTCCTCAGACTTAGTTCCCCCAGGTAAGGTCCGCCCCTGTCTCCACCCCCCAATGGGCGTGGTCAGTGCCACAGGTGCTGACAAAGTGAATATCTCACTACAACTATCAGTCTGCATTTGTAGCAAGCTCCCATAGGAAGCTGAAGCTATTGAGCCATGTACCACACTCTCAGCAATGGAGTCCAGCAAGGTGTTTTCTAGAGTGTAGTAGGACACCCCAATCAGAATTACCATGATGTCTGTTAAAAATACACTCTGAGCTGTGCTTCATGTCTATACAAATTCTGAGTAAGCAATGGCTATGCTCAAATTTTTCTTTAAATACCATGTATTACATTTTAGTTATTTTTTTAATTTACTCCTTGATCCATTTATTTATTAATTTTCAGCACTGGGGATCAAACCCAGGGTTTTCATTAATTAGTCAACTGCTTGACACCAGCCTACATCTCCAGTTCTTAATTACATCTTAAATCGTTACATATTGTTTCAAAAGATGCTAAGACACATCATAAAAATGCCAAATCTGTTTTGATTTATCCTGCTAGTCTGTCACTTATTCCTTTTTTCTTGGTCGTCTTTTTTCTTTGAATTATCACTTCGAGAATCTAAAGGCAACCGATAAGAGATTAGAGAGAAAACTCAGCAGGTGAGAGCTTTTTCTATGAAAACTTGAGGGCCTGGGTTCAGATCCCAGCACCAGTATGGAAAGCCAGGTATGTCTGCACGTATAATTGTAACCACAGAGCTGGAAGACACACGGGGGTGAGGAAGTGGAGAACATTGGGATTTCTGTGGCTTGCTGGATCGCACCCTACCTCCAGGTTCAGTGTATTACTCCTGTCTCAAAGGAGTAATACAGAAAGAGGGAGAACAGGATACCCAACACTCTCTTCTAGCCTCGTTACCTATGTATGGACATGCACACCATGTACATATGCATGTATGCAACACACACACACACACACACACACACACACACACACACACACGGGGCAGAGAGAGAGAGAGCAAAATGACAATAAGTAAACAGTTTGTCGTCATAAGTTATGAACTTCAGTTCATGTGTCTCTGCTCCTTGTCCCATTGTTACATAGCAATTTCCTCCAGGATAAAACCATCCATTTTAGAGGGAAGCTCACTAAGACACAGGCTGTCCTAAGGGAGGCCAAGCATCCCATCCTGCAGGAAAGTTAATTTACACTCAGGACACAAATTACTCAATGGTTTTAGGAAGTCCCCAAAACTAACCAGATTCACTATGCCCCTCCCTTCCTAAGCATAAATAAGCAACAAGGACTCCCGAAAGACTCTGGTAGACAAGCTGAAGAGGTTTCCTGGAAGAGGGTCAGACCAGCCAAGCCTCCTGGAAGGAACAGAGACCAGATGGTCCTCCTGGAACAAGCAGAGAACAGCTGGGTTGCCCAGAAGAGGACTAAACAACAGAGCTACCTATAAAGGACGCTCCGCAACCTCAGATTATGTAGTGCACTCCAGGGTCCCCGTTTTTGCGGGCTGTCACCTATGCTCAAGGCGGGCTTGTGGTGATGCAGTTGTCTTTGAGTCATCTCTGCTCCTGCAAGGAACCGCTCACCCATATCCCTGTAAATAATCCAATTAAAACAAATTGGTCCATCGAGTTGGATTTTGGTTGTTGTCAGTTCCCAGGAATAATGTCATACAAAACCCATCCCTTCCAATATTTCAGTTTCTCAGAAACAGGATATCATGTTACCTGTCTCAGAATATGCCATGGCTCGAGATATCTAATCTCAACCCCCAACACCCAATTTCATTTGAATCACTCCTTTACATCTTACCCTTGCATCATGCAGTACCCTGAAGCTTTCTGCCCCTAAAAAAAATTCTTTCTTCAACCCATCCATGATTCTTACAGTTCTCCATAGTTTCATTACTGCTGCTACTGTATTCTTGGTGTTTTCCAAACATAGTTCTAAAAATGTTACATACATTGTCCTGATTCTCATCTCATGACAGAAACAAAACAAAACAAAACAAAACCAAAAAAAAAAAAAAAAAAACCAATTGTCGCTAAGAGAACATTGGAGACTGGGTTCTGAATCATATCTGTTTGAGCCTGAAGTTTAAACTTCTTATCTTTAACCCATATTTGTCATTATACTCATCACATCGACAGCGATACTTTTTAAATACACACACACACACACACACACACACACACACACACACATACACACACACAGTTTTGGCAGCTCTCTAACAGAAAGGCATCCAATATGTCTTCCCAAGTCTGTTCCTATGTAAGTAGAAAGTTGTCCTGGGAACGAAAGTGCTCTCTCTCACAGTGCTCGACACATCTGAGAAGAGCATGTACTCTCTAGTCTGCCCAAATTTGGAATTGTGTAGTCACTTCTGTTGCCTGGGTTCTCCACTATATTCATACCAATGGAAAAGACTGATGTGATAGTGTCACTATCTCAAGGAGAGAAAACATAGCAAAACTACTTAAATATATGAATGGAAGTAGAGATTTATACACAAGGTTCACCATTAACCTCTCCCCTGGGAAGTTGGTCTTAGATAGTTCTGCATATGGCCTCCTGCATTAAACGGCTATTTGAACTCTGTTGGTGGTTTCTATTAGTGCTCATCAGCAAACATGAGATCTTTCTGTTTCTGAGACTGTCAGCTCTGATTACAGGATGAAAGCTGAACAGCTTCTTTGACCAAATTGCATCTTGGCACTTACAGCTGTGATCCATTTTCCAATGATTATTTCAAAAGCCATTAAAATGAAGGAAACCAAGAGGGTGATTCTCATCTGAAACCATTAGATGCAAAGCCGTGTCTTAACTCTCAGACTGACACTACTCAAAAAAGACAAATACTCAGTATTGAGGCTCCTGCTCTCAACAAAAGCAAAGATGTTCCCGGGTAAACGCTTTGTTCATGACTTGCACAGATCCATGCTGCTTCACCTGTATTTTCTTGTTTTAAATTGGAAACATAACAAGCTGCTGACAAAGGCTATGTCAAGCTTTTACCATGACTTGAGTAGAAAGGTAGAGATAGCAATTCCTGTGTGGTATTGCCTTTGAGATATTTTTTTCACAGCCTTAAAGATAAACCCAGAAGATATCTCAAAGGATGTAGTTGATCTGCTAGTCTTTCAAGAACAGAGAAGACAGCTGCGGTTAGCTAGCTAATGAAGCATCCTACTTTGAAAGCTACTTGCACCCTGTCTTAGCAAACGCTGCTGAAAAAGTGAAGATGAGAACTTAGAATCAAATACTGCTGCACTAATGGACCTGGCTTCCGTCACATAACAGCAAAAGAAGGACAAAGTAATTCACTTAGAGTTAAGACAACATATTTATTTGAACTTATTTTATTGTTGCCTCACCCTCTGCCAATAAATATGAGGGTTTTATAAACCTATTAGTATCAGCTCAGCTTTGAATCCTTATTTTAATTTCAACATGACAAATAAGGGTTACAGAAATACATTATTGTAAAACCATACAAAACTATGGCACTTAAAGTCAAGAAAAGCCGTAGACTGTAGTATCCCCTAACTAGCACATAGTGTGTATGAGAAAATGAGAAGTACCTTTTAGCAACTTCAGAAACTCTCTTGGACATGAAAACCTAATGGTGTGACTTTTCTCCCATTTGAAAAATGTAAAAAGTAACTTTCTGTCTAGGTGAAAAGGAGACAAAAATCTCCAAAGCGAATGGTAAAAGCTACATCCATCCATATTTTATGGGGGATTTATTGTCTATAAAATTTAAGTGCAAACATTTTTGAAGAAATAAAAGTTAATGAGAACAAACTACAAAACAAT